TTTGAAATTTGCTATCAAATCTGTCTTCTTTTTTTTATAGCTCTATGCAGTCCCACCAAAACGTCTCTATCTTGGTGTAGGAGATTCCGAATGATGAGCGACTTATTTCTATAGAAACTAGACATCAAAGTCTACATCATATCCAAAAATCAAGGTAAAACTCTTCATGGATTGATGAGAATAAATTTTTGAAGCTGGTCTTCAATTCTGTCATTATTGTTTTGCAGATTGTGGAGTCTCACCAAAACGTTTCCATCTTGGTGTAGGAGAGCTCGAATGGGAGAGCGACTTGATTCGATAGAAAATAGACTCTTAAGTCTACAACCTATCCAAAAATAAAGTCAAAGTTCTTATGAATTCACCAAAATTGATATTTTTAAAGGTAGCGATCCAATTGACTTTGGACAACATCGATGAGTTCACTTCTCTGCATCTTCGTCGAAGAGCCGCATATTGATTGAGAATTTTGTCATCATATACATGGAGAAAGAACAAGAATCTCTTAAGTCAATACAGCCATATTCATCATGACGAGCGCGAGAGCATATGCCACAATTTTCACCATGCCGATTTGAACCTTCGTGCAATTGGCACCGTGAGACACATCACTTTTCCTTCTTTTTTTTGTAGGTTTACGATGAACCGAAGACAGTCTCAATATCACACCATAAAAATGAGGGGTAATCCATAATTGACGAGGAATCACTTGGTGCATCTTCATTTGTAGTTGCGATTTTGACGACGAATCATACTTGGTGTAATATTTTAGCGATTATGGCTTTGGTGGAGATGTACCACACTTAGTGCATCTTCTTTTGTAACTGCGGCTTTGACGACAAACTACACTTGGTGCATTTTATTTTGCATTTGCGGTCACACATGATGCATCTACTTTTGTAGTTTCAACTTTGATGACGAACCACACTTGGTGCCTCCTCTTTTGCAATTGTGGCTTTAGCGACGAACCACACTTAGTACATCTTCCTTTACAACTATGGCTTTGATAACGAATCATACATGGATCATCTTCTTTTAGAGTTGTGGCTTTGATGACGAACTACACGTGAAATATCTTTTTTTTGCAGTTGCGGCTTCGACGATGATGTCTCTTCTTTTGTAGTTTCAACTTTGATGACGAACCACACTTGGTGCCTCTTCTTTTACAATTGCGGCTTTGGTGAGAACAACACTTAGTGTATCTTCCTCTAAATTGAAGCTTAGCGATGAATCACACTTTGTACCTCTTCCTCTGTAGTTTTGGCTTTGGCGAGAAAGAGATTTTGCCGCAGTTTGTCCTAATTATGGAGAGGAACTACTTGTCACATTATCAACTCATTTAATCAAACTTCAAAATATGCTCCCATGTCAAAGATAGAAGCTCGCTTATGGCTGCATCGACCCATAAAAATATTTGAAGCAATGATGTTTGATGAAAGGTGATGCGAACTTGATGAAGACATCCAAGACGAGTTGACAAACCACTTCTTGATGTTTGATTTTTATTTTCTACTTAGACTTTTTGTATGGGATGATATGTCCATTTTTTTTCATCCCTTACTTATGATGTGTAAAAACTCTTGTAATTTTGAAGCAATAAAATGTATTTACTTTACACTTCAATGCAAAACATGTGAGTTTTTTTTTCATCTAATTTTTCTAGGCCACTTATTTCAAGGTTTTTAACCTATTGAATTTTTTGGACCATATAGATTTAAACTCATGAGGGCTAAAATTAACAATTTGAAGATTTAACTCATTTTCATGGAGCTTTTCTGACTTGAAAACTTGCTCGCATTTGAGAAGCATCATGATTTGAAAACTTAGCTCAAATATGAAGAGCTTCAAAACTTGAGACTTAGCACGAATTTTATGAGCTTCATGACATATATTTTTGGCTTAAGTCATATGTGGCCCCTTAAAGTTGTCCGTATAATTCATTTAGACACCTCAACAAACCTTGTTTCCTATTAGACACTTCAACCTTAAAAAATAAATACCGATTGAACATTTTTCTGACACTTAGTCAAAAGAGAAAGTGCGTATAATACACATGCATATGATGTGGCAAAATAGCAAATCAAATAAAAACATATGGCATTTTAATTTAAAATAATTATAAAAATAAATTTTAAAATTAAAACAAGTCAAAATCTTAAAGGAAAAGACTTTAAACTTGAAAAAAATAACTAAAAAAAGGAAAGAAATTATACACCCCTCACCCCACCCCCACCCCACCCCACCGCAAGCCTCTCACTTTCTTCTCTTTCTCTAACCGTTCCACCATTGTTAATTCTCGATTTAGAAAAATTAGAGATTTTAACATATATAACGTATGAATTTATCATTTTTATTTCTCTTCATGCCTTCTTTCTTATTTCCATTATTTCCATCTAAATTGATAGTGTTTTCTTCAAAGATCCATTCTTCCTTTGTTTATTTTGATTTAAAAATTGTTTTTTTGTTTTTCTCTGTTTCGACTCTGATTTGTGAGGAAGAAGGGGTGTGGGTCAAGGTGGTGTCTGGGGGGAGAGGTGAAGAGGGAGAGAGAAAATATTTGAATAATGATTTTTCATTTTTTCCGGCAAAGAAGACATCTCCATTTTTTCGACAAAAAATTGTGGATGGTGATCTCCATCTTTTTCCAGAAAAAAGATGATGGAAGTAGACAATGATGAGAAGATTAAAAAAAAAAAAAAAAACAGGAAAATTTGTAAAAAAAATGGCGATGAATTTGTGAAGAAAAGTGGTTGCAGCAGGTGTATGGTCTTGGAAGAGAAGAAAAATAAAAAGATTGTTATTGTTAAAAAAAAATAATGAGAAAATAAAAGAAAGATTTAAAAGGAAAAGGAAAAATGTTAAAATATTAATTTCACGCTCTCACCAAGATGTGAATTACACTTTTTGTGCCACGTCGGTAAAAAGTGTCTAAATGGTTCAAATTCGAGAGGGTAGAGGTGTTTAATAGGTACTAGTCCTAGTTGAGGTGTCTAAGTGAATTATGCGGACAACTTTAAGGGGCCGTAGATGACTTAAGCCTATATTTTTTTACTTGAAGATTTTGCTCGAATTTGATGAGCTTTGAAACTTAAAGATTCAACAGAATTTGATGAACTTTATGACATGCATTTTAGGCTCGTGCATCGAGTAACATTTTGATTTGAAGATTTTTTGTTCTCGAATTTGATGTGCTTCATGACATATATGTATTTTGACTTGTGTGAATGAGCATTTTGATTTGAAGATTTTGCTCGAATTTGATGAGCTTTGAAACTTGAAGATTTTGCATAAATTTGAGAAGCCTCGTGACTTGAATACTTAGCTTGAACTCAACGAGCTTCACGACATGGAGATTTAGCTCGGATTTGATAAGCTTTATGCCATGAAGACTTGGCTCGAATTTGATGAGCTAGGAGTATTTTGATTTGAAGACTTAACTCGAATTTGAGGAGCTTTGGAGCTTGAAAATTTAGCTTAAATTTGATGAGTTTCATGACATGTATTTTAGGCTTGTGCGTCGATGAGCATTATGATTTGCAGTTTAGGCTCGTACATCAAGGATCATGTCGACTTACATAGACTCTTCAATTTCGATTTCGGATGAAAACTTGTCATCATCCTCAATGTCAATTATTTTTCTTTTGTAAGTTTCGAAGTTGGACAATTCTTGATCTCCATTTGAAGGCATACTCAGTTCCATATCATGAGCACGCGTTGCTAGTTCTTCAAACGTTTTAGGATTTATGTTTTGCAATATGTAACGAAGACCCTAATGCATACCTTGGATGCATATTTCGATCCCAAAAGTTTCACTAAGGCGATCTTTGTAGTTAAGGCTCAAGCTCCTCCAGCGATTTATGAAATCAATGACTTGTTCATCATTCCTTTGACGGACATTTGCAATCTCTATCATGCTCACAACACGTCTTATGCTATAAAAACGCTTAAGAAATTGTTGCTCCATCTGCTTCCAACTATCGATGGAACTAGATCCAAGATCTATGTACCATTCAAAAGCAATTCATGTGAGAGATCTAACAAACTGCTTAACAAGATAATCACCATATGTTCCAGCATTATTGAATGTTTCAACAAAGTGTGTTACATGTTGTTTTGGATTTCCATTGCCGTCGAATTGCTGTAACTTAGGAGGTTGATAGCCAACATGTATTTTTAGGTTATCAATTCTTTGAGAATACGACTTTACATATGTGAGAGGAGACTTGGATGTGCACTCAGATATATCTTTGATAGCCTCTTTGATGAATTCCTTCAATTTGTCAATAGGAATAGACCTTCGGCAGACACTTGAAACTCATTGATGGTTGTTTTTTGTTTTGCGGAGGACTCTATTTTCTGCTGAGTTTCATGAAGCTTTGCACATAATTGAGTGGATTCTCTTTCCTCCATATTCTCCATCATGTTTGTCAACTTGGTAATTTGGACGTCTTGACCTTTGATGTACTTTGATAGGTCTTCAACTGCTTTTGTCAAATTTGCAAGTTGTTCTTCTATGGTGAAAGTTTCGATCACCATCGCTTGCATCACCATTGTAGATGATGGAGAACAACGTCGATTTTCCATGACATGAGATGCAGATATGTTATGCTGAGTAGATCCAGTGCTTAAGATATCATTGTCGGCTGAAGTGAATGATTTTTTAGATGTGGATAGGCTCAATTGGGCAAAAACCCTCTCAACCATTTCGGCGATGTCATTTTTTGCGGCTTTTGCAGACAACTTTACACTTTTTGGAGATGAACCAAAGACAATAGCAGATTCGAACGACACTCGAGAGGCTTGTTGTCCTAGTAATTTGGCTTGGTTCCTTGTGACACGTCTCATGTTCCCCGCAGTAATATCAAGGATGTTTTCCACAGCAATGCAAAATTTGGATACATCAATTTTTGTGGATGCAGATGCAGATCCAGATCCAGATGCGGATACAGATGCAGATTCGGATTTAGATGCATATGCAGATTTTGAGTTGATCTTCTTGAAAGTCATCTCGGCGTTTTTGAACTTTGATTTTCTTGAAGAGAAGAGATGATAGGTAAAGATTGTCCCACTGGGCGTGCTAATTTGTATGCGTCTAAAGTTTCAATCCTGAAATACAACAAACAAGAAAGGAAAATAGCAAGCAAACAACAGTATTTGTATTTGAATTTATGCGAAGGTTACAATCTTTATAAAAAAATTAAGAAAAGATATGTAATCCCCTGATTATTCTCTTCAATGATGTTCTTGATTTGATGGAATACTTGCGGCTCAACTTTTGGAGCGAAGACTTCTTTGTACTTGCGGCTCAACACTTGGAGCAAAGACTTCTTTGTATGCGGAAGACTTGCAGATCACCACCGAAGAGCAAGGATTCTCTATGTATTTCTATGTGTCTTCTTCTTTTTCTTCCTCCTTCTTTTGTTCTTATGAAGACCTCTTTATATAGGCTTGAGCTAGGGTTTTAGGGGTATTTTTGTCCAAGCAATTTTGGTACTTGGGCTTGAAGAATATGAGTTGGGCTCGTCTTGTCAACTTAATGGACTGACCCAAATGTAATTTGAATTTTATTTAAGTCATATATTTTGACTTAAATATTAATCCGACCTTATTAACTAGTAATTTGACTTGGTCGATATATCATGAATTTATGGATTAATCCAAAATTTAATATGGATTTATCAATAAAATTTCACTGGCTACAAATTTCAGGATCAAAGAAGGCTATACATACAAGACTCAACTTAGGATTGAAAAAATAACATATCGTAATTTATCAAGTCTAAATTCATCCTTAGTATTTTCATTTGTGTACAAGTCATATCAGGATTAGAGAAAGTCAAGGATACAAGACTAATCTCACACTTGAAAATATAGTAAATCTCAGTTTATTATGTTTGAGTTCATCTTAGATTTCTCATATATGTAACTCATCTCAGAATTATAGAAGGTTAGACATTAAAGATCAAAACTTAAACTTGATAATTTTGTAAATCTCAATCTACCATATGTATATTCACCTAATTTTTCCATGCATAATTCATATCACAATCATAACTGAGTATTATCTTTGAATTCGTCACAATTTTTCATGAATAATTTATATCAAGATCAGAACTCCTCAGAGTTACACGATTGGACTTGCTCTGAATAATATGGAAAATGCCAGTCTATCATGTTTGAAGTCATACCATACGCTTCCGTGCTTGTATGTTATTTTTCCTCTGACTTCCTCTCTCATTTGCGAAGCGAAGAAAGCAGGCTTTGACCCAGTTACTGCTATCCTTGGGAAATCAAAAGAGCTACCAAAGAAATGGGTTGCAGTCTCTCCCTTGGCCTTTGTTGAGGAGAGGGTAGAGAAGAAAACGTCATTCGCGCAAGTCATTTTGCTTCTGCGTTCTTATTAGTAAAAAGGGGCTCGTTTTAAGAGTTGTTCTAAATGGATGCACCACAAGACCTCTCGCAGATGCTTACCTAAGCTACAAAACTCAATTGTTGGGCGCCTTAACTAAAAGAGCTATGAACATTCTATACCAAACAAGTGGAGTAGAAAAACACTTTGTACCATTTTTTTTGTTTTGATAATCAAACAATTCAATCAACGAAAACAACAAAAAAATGATTATGTTGATAACTTAAATAATTCAATCCAAAAAAGAAAGTTATTATTAAATCTCAAATAAACGGAATTACGTTGAAGAAACACTCACAACGATCTACATAATGCGATTATCAACAGAAGTTCTTGATCTCACAAAATTAAGTTGAAGAAAACACTTGGCCATCCGCCAAAAAGGTGTTAAGCTTCAAATCACACTTTCTTAGCTCTTAGGAGGTACTATCGTCCTGATAACGATTAGAGGTATTGTTGTCGAAATATTCTTAGTCAGCTATTCATGCGAATATAAGATGCGTGGTGAATATTCGTTATATTTCATGAACCTTGTATTAAAATTAGTATTGCATTGCAAGGACGCTAGATGAAGAAGGTTCTGCTATCATTTTAAACATGGAAAAGAGGTAAAGACAGCCATATAATCCTTAAAGATTTCCAATAAAGTACCATATTGAGTAGTTCCACCCAAATCTGATCCTTGTTTGACCAGGCCGACTAGCAGAGCGGTACGTACCAACTGCAAATCTCTATGTTATGACAAATGCACAATGAAGCTTAATTGAACAGTTAAAAGTACTAATTCTCCTCTAGTTTGAATCTCCCAAACACACCAAGGAATACACGGTTGAAGAACCAACTTCTGGCAGCTGTCTCAGGCTCCCTAGCTCTACCAACAACTCGAGAAGGACATGATATTCCCAATGAGGACAAGAACTTTTTGCATTGAAATTCTACAAATTGTATTACACATTGAAGAGTTAACCCAACGAATAAACCATTCGTTCAGAGAGCTCTGCACCAACAGCCCTCATGTATCTGTGCAGTTGAGTCTCCATATACCGCCTTTCACCGGAACCAAAAGCTTGCCTCAAATCCTTATAAAAAATAAAAAAAAAACCCAGTTACCAACAGTGGCGGAGCTAGGACAATTAATAAGGGGGTTCAAAATCTGAAGAACTGAACACACGAACACACCGAAGGGGGTTCAACATCTACTATATATACATAAAAAATAATTTTAACCATGTATAAATAGTAATTTTTTCCACCGAAGGGGGTTTGGATGAACCCCCTCCTAGAAGGCTGGCTCTGCCCCTGGTTACCAATAAGCACAAAACAGGTAAAAGAAGCTGGAAAAGAATATCTTTGCATGATTTTCCCTAATAGTATGCTTACTGAAGCAATCCTTTTCGTACTAAGAGTTGCAAATACATGCAAGCAGACTTAAAAAGTAGCAGCATATCAACTCTCTCAATCTTTAAGGCCTAATTTTTCAATGGGATAACCATCTTGGGAACCAACTCAGAACTTGATACTTCTTTGCGTTTCTCTATCTCTCATTTGTGTGTCATTTTTCATTTCAAAGCACATAATTTTAAGAAACAACTTCATTTGTGATCCACATTTTTCGGTTTAAAGCAACTATAATTAGGACTACATAATTTAGCGCAAAGGGAAGTTATTGTGACAGGTCAATTAGCATTACTTTGTATCTCAGACGAACTTCCTTCAACCCAATCAAAATGCTACCAACATCTTTGTCTTCTACTTTGGGCAGATGGATGTTACTGCTCTCAGCAACCAATTCCTCATCTGAATCTTCATAATTAAATTCATCCATTTCCTCATCCTCGCCAACAGAAATATCATTTGATCCGTGAAAGTGTTGTTGATCATTTTGCTCCTCATAATTTTCAAGGTTACTAGGACGAAGAGGCTGTCCATTTTGTGTGGCAAAATCAGATAAAACCATGTACGATTTCATGTCGAGCAGTGGCTTGGCAACATCAAATGGAACCCACCTAATCAGAGGAAAATATCATCAGTTGAAAAAAGAAAATTAGGGCTGGTATGAAAATCCATCTGACCAAGGCTCTGCAATATCAGGTATTGGTGAATGATACTTACTATTCAACAAGAAAAACGATTATCATTTAAAACAACACATTAATTAACAATATAGAAACAGCTGAAGTTCATGCTCCCGCTGGCTAAATTATTAAAGCTACCTACATAAGAAGTGCTGTGTGGCTTGATTTTCCAACAGGATAAACCTCAACATTTTGGGGTTCCAGCAATTACACGCACAAAAAAGGGTTAAAGATAACATGAGCCTTAAATTATCCAAAAAGAGATTTGTCAGTCAGGCTCTCATACTGGCTCAGTTGGTTGAAACTAGTACTAGGGACTGACTAGATGATAAGATCGGGCAGTCAACGGGCTTGATTTTCCACATGACACAACAACTTGTCAGCTACAACTAGAAAAGTGTTAAACCTTCAACTATACTTTTTTTATATTTCTTATTGATGGCACTTTTATTGCGTAGGACTAGATAGCAATACACATATTTAGCACTTTTAAAACTAGTCATGATATTGTAAAAGATAATTATAAAGATTATTCCCATTACTTTTTCTGCTATTGTCCAATACTAAGCCAAGGCCACAACGGAAAATGACATAATGAAGCTTATTAGCATATAAGGTGCATACAGACTAGGCTCCAAGTCACTCACTGACTCGCACTAGATGCCACAATAGATCAGGCCATCTATTTAACAACAACATACCCAGTGAAATCCCACAAGGGGTTCTGGGCAGGGAAGGGTGTACGCAGACCTTACCCTTACCTAGTGGAGTTAGAGAGGCTATTTCCGGAGGACCATCGGCTCAAGTACAACAGATCGAAGTAGGTATGAAAAGGGAAAACAACAGTAAAGAAAACATAGCAACTAATAAGGAAACAGTAACAAGTCCACAACAAAATAGTGCAATTACCGAAATACCATAAACAGCAGATGATGACAGAAATCAAAAGCATGACACTACAAGAATAGGCTAATACTACGACAGATACCACTAAGCCTAAACCTGTCGAAAAGCAAGACAACGTTCCACTACCTACTGACCTTCTACCTTATGTGCGACCTTTCCACCCTCCTATCTACGGTCATGTTCTTGGTAAATTGAAGTTGCGCCATCTATTTAACAACTGATTCAAAATAACTAGCCATCAGTTAACCAGCAGGTCTCAGTCAATCACATACATGGCAATGCCAAATGTCATCTCTGAACAAAGAGGAATAAATGAAGATCTCAGAACAATTACCCATCATGATTTATACCTAACCTACTCATGCTCATTTTATCTTTACCCAAAATACCCCTGTTAATTCCCTATCCCTAATTACATTACCGACAAAATTGTCATTTTTCTCTTAAGAAGAAAACAAGTTGAAGTACAACTAATCTATCATAGTCCAGAAGCTCACTTCATTATCCAGAGCCCTTTCAGGATGCTCCTTTTTCTCCCACTGCGTACTCCCACTGCGTAAGCAACCGAGCTGACACCCACAAGATTGGTTCATTGTTGGATGCAATAAATTAAAAATAATAACAAATTGAGTTTATATCCAAGGCAAGTTAATTAGAATTTGCTGTGGTTGCTAATTTTTGACTAATTAAATCCTTGGCCACATAGTTCGAGAACCTCAGCATCTCTTCATCTTGTGCAATATGTTCTTCCCTTCTTCTCTAAAACCATATTCAAGGCAACTCCAACAAACTGTCTTTCCAATTGTACCTATGCATCAGGAACAGAGATATAGCTTAAAAACTAGCACCCAAAACTACACATACTCGGTCAAACTTAACCTTCTGAGCTTCAACTGCTTTCTGATTCTCCAATTCCCCCTCCCTGACAAACCACTCCAAACTCATAAAATATTCTGCATTCATGGCTTTCAAGAGCTCAGTTTATGTCGAATAAATTCTCATGCCCCTGCCTTTGAGCCTTCTCAAGGACAAGCTGCAAATTCCTATTTTAATTCTACAAAACAGTGGAAAGGTGTCTGACTTCAAGTTAGTTCTTTCTAGCTCTTATTTTCTACACGCTTGTTAGTAAGGGCTTTTGGTGCCTCAATAGGATTGGTAAGGTATATGAGAGCTTGTATGCTTGAAACTTCGTGGTTATACCGGTCATTGGAAAAGCAGGGGAAATGACAGCTTGAAAAGGAAATGAAAGAGAGATAGAGAGAGAGAGAGGGAATGACAGGTCTGATTGAAGAAGTGGTGTATAGCTCCACTTTTGATTAATGACAATAATGTCCCTATTATTAATGGTATTGCAAGGGAATCTGTGTGTGTGTGAGTGTGTGCATTTGTACATAAACATGCCCCATCAACAGACGGTGCCTATGTTACCCAACACCAATAGCTAAGTTGCGCGGACTCTTCACTTTCGATGCCGCACCCGTGTCGGATTCTCCAAAAATACACTACTTTTGGCGAATCCGACACGCACCTCTTGACATTTTTGAAGAGTCCGAGCAACATAGACCAATAGTAGCCTGAGGGCATACTTCAAAATCACAATATACTTGAAAAAACTCTCTTTTATGCATTTGGCCAAATAGATTTTTGTTGTTGAGAACTCAAAAACCGAAAAGGAATTTCAAAAATTTTCTTTTGTGGAATCATAATCTATATAATTAGAATTATGATTTAAGAGTATCCATTGGAGCATCAAATAGACTTGGAAAATCTCTCTTTTATCCATTTGGCCAAATAGATTGTGTTTACTTACCCCAGTCACATCCCTTTAATATCCAACTAATGACTTCGTATCCCTTTTCTATTTCAATGGGATGAATTAGAAGTTCAGCTTTTTACAGTGCTTAAGATTTGATAACTTAAGTTGTTCTTTAACATAAACTTCAGCCATCATCTATATTTCACTAAATTGCTCCTTACCATAATTATTTACCT